TTCCCACTATTTTCCCCTCACCTTCCTCTTTTTCCCCCCTCACAATTCCTTTCCCTTTTCGCCTCATTTTCCCCCATTTTCCCTCTCACATTTCCTGCCATTTTCTCCCTCACGTTTTCCCGCCCTTTTTGTCCCCTCACAGTTCCCGTCCTTTTTTCCCTCAATTTTCCCCCTTTTCTCCCCTCACATTTCCCACTCGTCCCCTCACCTTCCTCTCTTTTATCCCTTCACATTTCCTCTCCCTTTCCCCTCATTTTTCCCCTCACATTTCCTGCTCTTTTCTCCCCTCACTTTTCCTCCATTTTCTCCCCTCACGTTTTCCCGCCCTTTTTGTCCCCTCACAGTTCCCGTCCTTTTCCTCCCCTCACAGTTTCCGCCATTTTCCCCTCACATTTCCTCTCCCTTTTCCTCTCATTTTTCCCCATTTTCCCCTCACATTTCTCCACCTCACCCCACAACGAGCCTCGAAGATCCAACACATTTATTCTTCAGGTCAGGCCTCTCAGGGGTGTGATACCTGATAAAAGATTCATGTTAATCACAAAAGCATTGGGGTTTGTATAAATAGAATACTAAGCTCTGAAGTGAAGCATGGACACTAGATAAAGGAAATTATATGATAAAATCATTCTGTTTAAAATCACCTAGTTACATTATATTATGTTTTTTAAATAAGTTGCATCTATTACCATCTACTATCATTTATAACGAGCCCCAAATCTTCCCTTCCTTCCTGACTCTTCCTTCCCTTTCCCCGAGGAATTTTGGCACCGTTACAGAATTGGATGTAAACAAACCCAAAACTTCCTGGAATTTTTTGGGTCCCTCAAGTCACCAGTGCTGGGATGTTCCTGACTCAGGTGTGCCCGAGGGGTGAGTGTGGGGTCTGGATTTAACTATTGTAACTGGTTTAACTGGTTTAATTCCCCAGTGTAACTGGAGTAATTCCCAGATTCCCCCCCACCCTCGATCCCAAATTCCAACCCCAGACCCCTCCAGATCCCAGATCCCAGTTTCTTTACTCCACAAATCAAGATCTGAAATTCTCTTTTATTGAGCAAAGCAAAAAAAAGGGGTAACAAGAGAGATTGGGAGGGTCCAAAAGAGAGACTGCAAGATCCCAACCTTGAGATGTCCATGAGGGTCCAGGGGTGTCCAAACAGTCCCGGTGGTTTCTCCAAAGTTCTTCTGGTACCCAAGAGGTTCTGCTGAAGGTTCTTCTGGGGTCTCTGTGGGGTTCTAGGGGTCTCTATGGGGTTCTAGGGGTCTCTATGGGGTTTTAAACGGGCCTACAAGGTTCTAGAGGTGTCTATAGTGTTCTAGATGCATCTATGGGGGCCTTGAGGTCTCTATGGGGTTTTAAGCATGCCTATGGGCTTCTAGGGGTCTCTGTGGGGTTCTAGGGGTCTCTATGGGGTTCTAGATATGTCTGCAGGGTTCTAGAAGTGTCTGTGGGGTTCTATGGGTCTCTATGGTGATCTAGAGTGTCGCACAAGGGTCTAAAGGTGTCCCCCAGGTTTCTAGATGCACCTATGGGGTTCTAGAAGTGCCTGTGGGGTTCCAAGGGTCTCTATGGGGTTCTAGACATGTATACAAGGTTCTAGAAGTGCCTGTGGGGTTCCAAGGGTCTGTATGGGGTTCTAGATATGCCTACAGGATTCTAGATATATCTACAGGATTCCAGAAATGTCTGTGGGGTTCTAGGGGTCTCTGTGGGGTTCTGGGAGTCTCTATGGGGTTCTGGGGGTGTCTGCAGGGTTCTCAGGTTGTCCCCGTGGTTTCAGAGCCATCAAGGAGGTCCTGCTGAAGATCCTGCAGGTTCTCATTTCTCCTGGCAGCGTTTTCCTGG